AGCCATGGTAGCTTCACTATCCTCCTCCACATTTGCCCTAATTATTAGTGTCTCCATCTCCTTATGGTAATCTTCCACACTCTTGGAGCCTTGATATAAATTTTACAATCTTTGATGAAGCTCCCAGTAGTAATGAGTAGGTACAAATCTCTCCCGCATGATAGTTTTCAATTCCTCCCATGTATTGATAGGTCGCTCCCGACTTCTCCGCCTCAAAGTTACCACCTGACCCCACCAAGTTTGCATAATCCATGAATTCGAGTAATTGTGGCAATCGAAGATTAACTCAATTTTCTTTTCCCAGTCCAAGTAGGCCTCTGGATTACTCCTACCTTTGAAGGAAAGAATGGCCATTTTAATGTTACTCAAGTTTCCATCCACCTCACCTCCACCGAGATGCCTACCTCTCCTTTCTGGTCTAACTCCTCTATTTCTACCTCTTCCAATATCCATATCCACTATTGCATCCTTGTCCAATCCACTATCAACCTCAAATTCACTAAGTTCCTCCATCCTAGGTTCCCACCTACCCTGTCTTCGTGCATTAAGACCACCTCTTCAAGTATTGACAAGCAATGGATTTTACCTTTCTCCCCGTGCATCCTGTCTATCTATTCGATCTCTCATATCTACACATAACCACTCAATCCTTCGCACCGAGTCCTCTAGCATGGAAACCCGATCATCAACCCTTCTTAAATTTGATCCTTCCCTGTCAGACATCCTAAATCTGAATTATTTTCTGCCTCACAAGTTTTCATTCGGAATTTCACTCAATACGTCTTTTTCCCTCTATTGCTCTCACCACTCTACCTTTTTCCACCCATTGCTTTCACGAGGTCTCCAAAAGAACAATTTCAGAACTCAATCAAAAAAATTAATCACGTGGAATTCAAACTGGTGTGAGTGAGACTGCAAAACCAAGGAACTTAGTTCTAACTGGCAATTCGGACTAAATAATTAAAGACTAACTCAAAAACACGAAATAAGAAAAGAATTACTGACTGACTTTTAAATTAGACACAAAATAATAAATGGAACTAAAGAGAGTTGGTAAATTTTCCCCAAGATCAATAACAATAATAATTTTTTTACTGCGTATGGATGAACAGTACCCTACAGAAAACCTTTTTTTTAAACTCGAATTTTTTTACTGCGTTCGGATGAACAGTACCATATAGATGAACAGTAATTTTTTTTTACTCTTGGGATTGAAAAATCAAAAGCAAGACTGACGCAACAAATGGAAGTTGATTTGGATGCAAATTGAATCCAAAAACAACTTTTGAATTTTTTTGGATTAAAGACTCAAAAATAACAACTAACTCGACGAACACGAAGAACAATAAGAAAAAGTAATAACTGACTCAACATGAATTAAAAGAGATATAACCTTGGATTGGAGCCAAGCTCTGATACCAACTGATGTGAACCCGCGTAGGCAAACGCTACGAAACCCACGAACAAGATTGAAATCTTCCCAAGAAAGCCAAAGCAAGTTTTTTGGATTAAATTCAATAGATCTAGAACCAAGAAACTCGAATCACCGACAATGTGTGGACCTCTTGATTACACAAAAATATGAAATCTCACCCGGTTGATTTGAACGCCACAAGATTAAATCTTGATAAGTTCTTGAATTGTTCAATTGTAGAATAAGAGTTGAAAGTAATATAGCCTCTTCAATTACGAATAAAGTCAAAAATGATCTTACAATTGAAAATTAAATAGTATTTATACTAGGTCTAAAAAAACTAGGTAAAAAACATGCCTAATATTTCAAATATGGTAAGAAATCTACTAAGTATCAAATTCTATCAAAAATAGGAAATTCGCAAAAAAAAAAAAATGGTCTATGCGACCTCATAGTGTATTTCTATGTGGTCGCATGGTTCAACAAAAAATCTCATCTTGAGTTTCGGTATGCCTCCATGCGGTCGCATGGTGTTTTTGCCTGTGTGGTCGCACATGCTTGTTTTCAGCCTCTGACTTTGTCGCTTGATAACAAATTGATCCAAGTTGATTCGACCTTCGACCCGAACATGAAAGTTGCTCAATTTTGAGTCCCGAACATGGTTCCATTAATGGTTATTTAAGAATCGACGTCGATTTGCTTTATAAAAAGAAGATATCAACGAATCTCTATGAAATGGTTTCACGGGATTCAGCCAATTGTCTTGATTGTGGAATATCATTGAGAAATAGGAATTTGTGTTATCAAAGGATTTCCTGCGATTATTTCTAGTATGGAATGAGCCAATCATCCACTTTGGGATCTTATTGAACGTAAAGGGTGATATTATTCCTCTATTGATCAAGAATTTCGATTTTTGGGAAGTATCATGATCATCCAATAAGAAGGTTTCCATTTTTTCAAATGAACAATTTGAAGACTTACTGATTCTAACAACTGATTACAAAGTTGATCATTTAGACCTTTCAATTCATAGATGTAGATCTCAGACCTATCGATGGGGATATTCCCGAAACTCAGACAGAA